GAGTTATGACTGCATCTGATATGGCCAGATACTGTAAATCAATAACCATTTTCAATACAACCAATAAACATTTTTAATTGGATCAGCCTAAATATGTTTTGTGTGAAAACAATTCATTGTTGTACGTATTATAATAAAGATGTCGGGCTCGATATTGAGTTTCAAAATGTATACTTTATTGACGTGTAATATGATAACTATAATATGATTAAAACTTCCCACACGTGATTATGCTTTGCACAATGGTCGTGATTTTGATCAATGTCGTTACACTATCTTAAATGCGTAGTCCACCCTATAAATTGGCTTTAGTAGAAGAAGAAGAAAAATGAAAGAAACAGGTCAGTGAAAATTAGAGAAAAAACGATTAAAACAAGAAATTAATTAATTTTTTAAAGGTTCGATCAATCACACACAAATTAGCAACTCTGTGACGTATCCTTCAGGATCCCCTCCCATTTTCCCAGTACCCCAAAATAAGAATATATATATTTCCCTTTTGATAAAATGTTATCATATATTCACCCTAAATATAGTTATTGAAAATATATTTTTAATACAATCCCGGTATGAAACAAATTTATTCCGTCATCAATAGCTAAGGAAATGAATCAGGGTGGACCTTTACTTCAATTTTTTTTTTAAAAATTACTCTTAGAAGAAAACAGAAAAACAAACTGTTAAAGTTTGAACAAAATCGGACAAAAAATAAAAAAGTTCAGAATTTTTGAAAGATATGTGATCATTATGGGAATTTCAAATTGACTAAATCTGAATGTGATATAGTTGTGCCGGGCAACATTCACATATTTTTTGCCAACACACATCATGAATGGAATGCAATTTTTTCAAATCTATCTCAGGTGTGTCTTTTCTTTTTAGAGAACCTTTGATAATATGATATCAACAATATATTATTATTTTGAGTAGTGCCTTAAGGGAGCAGACGTTTATGAGGAGAGCAGAAATTTATTATTTTGGTTTGTACACGAAAAACGGGAGAGGTGGTCTCAGACTATATCTCAAAATCCAGTGCATGGGGCAGTGACCAAATCGCCAATTAGCTTTTAGAAATCTCATATTCCAAACACTCCAAATAGTTTTTTTTTTGGTGCTATTGGTCCTATTTATTTGAAACTTCCGGCATTCTGGCTCTCTTATATCTATTTATTTATTTATTATTTATTCGGCAATTCACAAGAAATATAACAATGTAAATATGAATAAACAAACATTAAAGGAATATCAATTATAAATGCTCAATCTTCCTGGAGGTCCTCTGAGTGCATCAGTTGGCTGTCGAGGAAGAGGAAAGCAAACTTAATCCTGTAACCGTAATGGTCCCTCTTTCCAACCAACTGGTGCACCCAAAAGACCTGCAAAATAACCTGAAGGTGAATAAAATGTATAACATTTCATAAACAAACCAATTAACAAAAACAAAGCGCAAGGAGAAAATCAAATTAATATGTATTATGACACTAGGTCATGACACGATACTGAACATAAACATGAGGAATTAATTATGGCTTAAAAACTTTTGCACAAAAAGTCAAGTAGGTAAACTGAAACCATGAAGTATAAAACTGAGAAAATAACAAAATATGAGAACATGTAGTTGCGCACTGACAAGAATGTATAAAATCATATAGGTTGACCGGTATATAGAAGTTTTAAAAAAACATGGTAAAGGAAGTGAATAGATACATAGGCTTAGAGGGCCCCAGGCGAGTAAGGAAACTAGGAGAACGAACACGTTAAAGAACCAGTACTTCATATTTTATATTATATTATAATATACCAAAAAATAACAAAGAAGCTGCGTTGGAAATGTACAGAAGATGTTTAAATAATGGAAGTAAAAAGAAGGAAAAAAAGACTCTAGAGACATTACAATGATAAAAACAAAATTAGTGTTTCGGCTCAAGAATTTCACAGAGAAGTAAACGAATGAATGATTCCAAAACGTACCGTAGTTATTTCATTAAACTCTTTCATTAAACAAAGACTTCAAAAGAAGAAGTTAATCAAAGAAGATATGACTTTTCAGCCTGTTTTGCCAGGTCTGAAATGTAAAGAGTACATCGTCAAAGCGCAAGTCCCGAGGTAATTTGTCCCACAGTCTAGGAAATATGTACATAGTGGAATTACTTAGACGTTTCGTACGCCTGATATCTTCTTGTCTCCTTTCTATTACTCTGATTTTTGAAGAAATATCAATGCTCTCGACAATGTTGTAGAGAGCTTTTGCAACGAAGTTAATTTCCTATGGGATTCTAGCGAGATTTATGACAATAACATTTATGAAAAATTGTGATGAACAAACTTCAATGTTCATTGGCGACAAAGAATTAATTTATGTTCATCAAGCCAAAGTCTTCGGAATTATTTTACAATCAAACCTAAAGTGGGATAGTCATGTATCCGATCTCACAAAAAAATTGTAATAGGAAGTTGTTTATGTTTCGTTGCCTTAAGAAGTATGGATTGCCTGTAGATGACCTTTTACTTATATATAAAGGATACATTCGTTCGATTTTAGATCATGGGGTACCGGTTTTTAATGGTAATTTAACAAAAACTCATGTATATATTTTAGAACGTATTCAGAAAAGAGCTTGCAAAATCATTTTAGGACGTCAGTATGAAAATTATGAAGCAGCATTGGAAACGTGCAATCTATGTTCATTAGAAGCAAGACGTGAGCAGTTATGTATAGACTTTGCAAATGCACTTGTCAAACACCCACAATTTAAAGAATGTTTACCTCTTAGACAACAAAGCACTTATTCTCTAAGATCTCAATCAAAGTTTAAACAATACCAATGTAAAACAAAACGCTTCCAGTGCAGCTCTCTTCCTTGCTTTATAAATCTTTTGAATAAAATGTAATACCAATATAAATTGTATTTTTAGAATTTCACAGTCCATGATTGAATTATGTGAATGAATTTTGATAGTTTTTATCTCAATTTTCTGCATTACTGAATATTTCTTGCCATCTCCCCTCATCTTTAATGATAAGGTACCCTTTGTCTGTCTCTTCCTCTCTTCAACTCTCTCTCTCTCTCTCTCTCTCTCTCCCTCTCTATCTCTTTCCGTCTTTCTCTCTCGTCCCCCTTCTCTCTCTTTCTTTCTCTCTTTCTCTCCTTCCCTCTCTTTGTCATCACTCCAACTCTCCCTCTCCTACACCTCTCCCTATCTCTTTCTTTTTTTAACAAAACATTGAATCTGTTCAATGATTTTTTTATGAAATGTCTATATGTTTGATTATTGATTTATGTCATATTTTGTGTTATTTCAATTTGAATTGCAATTGTATTTTATATAACCTTGTGATGATCTTTTTAATAAAAACCATTTATATCTATCATATCTATCTATCCAATTAAGGAGTCTTAGACGCTCGAAGTAGGGCATCTGCTGCCTGTGCTGTTTCAGGATGATACGAGTGGCTCTTCTTTGAATACTTTCAAGTCTGTCACTGAGATTTCTATTGGTGGGGTTCCACGCAGGTAAGCCGTACTCTAGTATCGGTAGTACTAGAGATAATTCAGCATTCATACAAATGAAATTAGTACAACGGTTGAACTATCTCTTTGTTGGCAGATAGGCCTAGACATATAGCCACTCTAAATGATCAATAATTGCGGTAGTTAATATTGTAGCGAAATGGTGCTTTTGAACCATGCATCTGTCACAAAGACTTTAATTATAGTACTGTCGTGAGGAACATGAACAAGTGTTAATTCTTAACAATAATAATAATAATAGTAGTATAAGTAATACTACTAATAATATATTGATCTTCTTTATTCAGTCATACTTTGTTTTCATAATGTTCATAAGAATGAAATTAAATTACAAAACAAAACAAAAGTCCTCTGTGTGGTTATGAACATTATACAATAGGCAGGGTAAAACGAAAGAAAACATTTTCGGAACGTAACATGAGAGCTCAACAAAGAGAAAGAAACAGGCATGTTATAACAATAAACTACTGCATTTCTTCTACTTATAACCACTTATCATACCATTATACGATATTACTACCAATCTTCTTTATCAAATCATTACAAAATTAATATCATCATTCCAAATAAGTTTCTAATTTTATAAATAGTATGGTAGCATAATAGCAATATTGGAGGGGGATAACATGTATATTGAAGTGTGAAATTAGAAGAAATATATAATCATATTAACATCCAGAAACCAAACTTTTCTTTATATATGAAGACAGTGAAAACATAATACTATCTATATTATCTATATAAACCTAATGATGATAACAACCAAAAAAGATGGAATTACAGCAACAACAACAACAACTAAACATACCAGTAATTATCATTTTCCTTTCTGTTATCTTATTTCCTGCATTATTTGTCTCGTCAGATTCACCATTATGTTTTAAGATTGGTGGAAAACTCTTAAACAAGCGCCGAAAAGAATCTCATTTTGTCATGTATTGAAGACTTGTTAGAAACATGGCAGGAAACATTTGACAAAGTTCTCATTGTCAAATGAGCTTTCCCAGGAAGAAGTAATAACAACACTAAAAATAAAAATTGATAATTATTTATGCGTAAGTTTTCTTTAATAGGGGGTAGAGAGGACTAATTTTTTTTTTTTGGCCCTCCAAAATTTGAAAAATCGCACCCCCCCCCCCCTTGAGCGTCAGGGAGGCATCTCCTATTCTCCCAGGTGGGAGGTGGGGGGAAGAGGGCAGGGCCGCGATTTTTTTTCCCTACGAACTTTGAGCTCGCGAGGGGAACCTGCGCATGCGCACTCGCGAAGGAAACCAGCGCATGCGCACGTGGAATCCAGTAGGGTGGTCAATAGGGTGATAGTAATTATACAAATCAATCTTTCATCAACTCATCTTTAGCTCAATCGGTAAAGAAAGCGTGATACTAATAGAACGTTGGAGTTGACGTGAGGGTTCAAATATCAGCTTATTTAGTTTTTTGCCTTTATAAATAGTGAGGCAAAGCAATAAATAATCAAAGTCCAATTGTTTGTGACCTCTTTGCATGAGTCAAGTATAAAAGTTCGTAGGAAAAAAAAGGACGCGACCGGGCCGGGGCCCCGGGCCTCCCCCTGGATCCGCCACTGAGGTGGTTGGTGCACTTTAATATCCCATAAATTCCGACCTGGGAGTATTCCCGCTACTCCCGCCCACATAGCCACGGTAAAGATTGTCATCATGCCTGAAGACTTCCCCTGGGCGCCCGGGACCTTGACGTCGTGGCTTCTGGTCTTCCGATTTTCTAAAGGAGGATAGATGCACATTAGACGGTGGGTCCCTTGTTCTCGGTGCCTACAAATTGTGAGAAATAATAATAATAATGCATTGTTATGGTCATAATGTTGATACTATTGATACTACTATACATCTACTTCTACAACTACTTGTACTACTGCTGCTAATAATATTACTACCGTGACTACTACTACTACTACTACTATTACTACTACTACTACTACTACTGCTCCTACTACTACTACCACTACCACCACTACAACCACTACAACTACTACTATTATGACTAGTACTACTGATCCTACTACTACCACTTCTACTACCACCAGTAATAATAATATGTGTAGTAGAAGTAGCTGCAGCAGCAGTAGTAAATAGTAGTCGTCGAAATAGTCATTACACCAAAAACAACAAAAAGAATAAGAATAACAATGATATACTAAAACACAAGTTATAATAATACTAATAATAAAAACATAGATAACAATAATCAAAATGATAAAAGCTACGAATCATATTTTTTAAACGTGCATCCCAGGGGATGCTCCAGTCTCCAAGATAATGTAGTGCTCTGTCCAGGATTAAAGTTCGGTTTTTAGTCAGTGTAGGAAATTGACAACGGTGCAATTATTGCCCGGACATTTGTGGGGGAACACGAAGATGAAACATAAAGGCCCGAATTCACAAAGGAGGTTTGAGCTCAGACCAAGGTTTTCGTACGTCATATGACGCGTTTTACGCATTTTTTACAAACCTGGTTTGTAAAGAACAAAAGGAGGTTTGGCGAAACAAAAGGAGGTTTGAGCTCAAACCTTGCTTTGTGAATTCGGGCCAAAGGGGACGAGACTTTCTTCTTGTTGTATTCTCAGCAGCGCTATCAAACGTGCTTATATTTTTGTGCATGAAAAACTTTTGACATTAACCCACTTACAACCATTTATATCCATTCATTATAAAAAGCCATAGCATATACAAATTATCATGAGAAGTAATTAAAGTGAGTTGATATATTAGTTACGTGAATATAGAAAGAAAAAAGTATCAGGGTGTGTTTCATCAACTTAAATTGATTTCGATATTGAGATCAATTTTATGGCGTATTAAAACACCCCTGAACTTAAAGGTATTAGTTACATTATTTTGTTTCTGAAGCAAACTGCGTGGAATTCGTAAATTGTGATTACTTACGAAGTTTTTGTTGGGCATTCTCCTCGCAGCAATAATACAACACAAACACATCATAACCACGAGAACACACGCTCCTACAGCCAATCCAAATATGCCACCAATACCCAGGAAATTGCCCACTGAAGTCAGCTCTGTGAGTAAAATTATTGGAAAACATTATCTTTTGAATGTAGCATAATAGGGGCATTAGTGTTATGTGACCGATATACAAAAATCTATATTCATCAATAAATTATCAATACGTTATCAATACATCTATAGGAAGTACACAACTGGAAGTTAAAATGCTTGCAAACAGTACACTTCCAAGTTATAAGCTCATGCAACACTGGTCACAATACATTCCTTCCAGATAATAGACGTACTCTTCTTTCATTACTGAGTCAATGTTATGGCCTATTTTAGGTAATAATTGTTTGCTTAATGACTTATGGTTTACCAATCCTCACCCAATAGAGGGTTTACCCATTATAAAAAAGGGTTCGTATTGGACTCCTGTCAGAATACTTTGGACCATTATCAGAGAGAACATTTGAGACAGTCAGGAGGAAACTTCATTGAGAGAGGAGGCTCTCAGACACCAGACTTTCTCTAGACTTAAACGCATCGTTACATTGTATTTGTATATCTTCATGTCATGTTATGCATGTATTTCATCGTGATAAATATTATACTGTACATTCAATTACATTCAACTTGTGTAACCATTCAAATCACTATACTCTAGAAAGTATACTTTGTATCGTAATACCAATCCCAGCATATAGTCAGAGGAGGAGGGGGGGGGGGGGAACTAACCGTTTCGAATGAACATGCAAAAATGGTTTTATTGAAGCATGTTTAGATACCTTATTTGTGACACTGGCAGGTCACTAATTGGCGGGCGGTCCAGGGGGCTGACCAGGGGGCTGAGCCCCATGACGCTCAAGGGTTTTAGGTATTTAAAGGGATAGTTAAGCGCTACACAAAATATTTTTTTGTGAGATAATGAAAAACTGAGTGTCAAATTTGTAGGAACATACAATGTGAATGACAAATCATCTTTGTTTGACCAAAATCGGTTTAGAGACGCCCGAAATATCCATAAATATTATATAATTTTAACCAGCCGTTGAAAAAACGAAATAGCGCCTTACGATACGTTTTATTCCAGCCAATGCCGATGTTGGCTTTTTGTTGGCGTTTTCGTGTTGGTTATATACGCACAACCAGCCGGCCCATGTACTGTTATCATTATTGGGGCCGAAATGAAGGCTTCCAAATAAGCATGTTTATTTGCCTGACCGGGAATTTGGGAATATGTAATTTTCCAACGAACGCATAAAAAGGATTATAATTTACAATTTCCTAAAGACAAAACCCGGAAAATCATGTCATTTCAGCAATATTTGTAAATCACTGGTATCGAATTAGAAATAAACCACATTTGAATTTTATTTTGGGGGCAACAACCCCCCCCCCCACACCCTCCGGTAAGTATAAATCAATACGGGTCGGATTTTGTTGCGTGAAAAGCACCCCTTTATCGGAGATTTTGGGAACACAAATGTGGTACCTCCGACCCAGGAGTGGGGGAAGGGTTGGAGGGGGGGGGGGGGGGGGTGAAGAGGCCGGGACCTTGAAATGATGAATTAATTTTTGAGTTTTTAGAGCGTAGGTAATCTTACCGCATACTCTCGCGGGGCCAACCCCTGCAGGTGATCTATCCGTGTAGCCAAAATAACAGGTGCAGGTGTAGGACCCAACCATGTTGGTACAATTGGCATTCTCCGAGCAGTCATTGGTAGTTGTACTTGCACATTCATTGATGTCTAAAGAAGAACAGAAATATTTTATTGACATTCAAGTTTATATTCATTTATTTTCCCAAAACAATAACGAATACGTATACATAAATAACTTTTTACGCCACATTGGTGTAAAATAACCTAAAAAAGATAATAGTGGTGTCTATTTATTAAGTGTTTGGTTTCTATAAGTGCTTTTTAAGCCAAGCCATCGGATGCTTATACCTTCTCTACTCCCTGGGGAATTTTCAATGAATATTTAGGCGCCTTATCCGAGATAACTAGTCAACCATAAAAACTTTAGCATCCTATCGCTTACCGGCTACAAATGTATTTGTGTTAATGGACGGAGTTGAGAAAATGCCTTGCCTACCTATCCGCATCAGCCAAAACTTGGTAAAACGAGATTATGACAGCACTTTTTATAAACCCTGGTGCCCAGACATCAGTGGCAAAACAATTATGAATAGGGCCTAAAAACAAATTACTCTTTACGATGCAGAAGATTTCAAGGTCACATTGATCTGAACTTTTATAGGGTACCAAAAAAGTCTGCTGTAAATGCTTACCCGCGATGACAGTGTCTTCAGGAACAAAGAATATGGTCGTTGGTCCTGCGGTAGCACTCCCCTCTTGAATAGCACTATCTATATCTTGTTCGAGTTGGGCCATCGTTGTAGACGGTTCGGTGATGGCTTCGGCTACGAATATTAGACTCCCGTTCCGAATTTCAATAACCGTAATTCCATAAATCGTATCAGTGTTTTGCATCATCTGTATAAGCACGCAAATAGGAAAGTGTGATTGTTGAATCTTCGATAAGGTTTTGCGGTAGCAGATCTTGGCATTCGGGTAGCGCTGACGACAAGGGAACAATCATATTACCATACATTCTAAAAAAAAACATAACACTTTAAAAAGGGCGAGGTGTGACCTTTATTTCTAAATGTTAAACCTCAGTTTGTGTATTGCTGGAAACACTATAAAAGCTGCATCCAGCATTAGAAAGGGTTGAAAATACCTTTTTGAAAACATTGTCATCCCCGGCCCTTTTTGAATTTTAGGGGTTTATAGCGCAAAGGCTAGTTCAGATATGGCGCAGTAAACACTGCGAAAACCCATTGCAGTTTATTTTATCTGTTTTACAGAGATACAGAAAAGTCATAACGTCTGAACGAGCCTTAAAGCAGGAGAATGGACGAGAAAGAGAGAGAGAGAGAGAGAGACAGATCATTTGACGGATCAGAATTCAGACCTACCACGATAATGAAAGCGTTAGCCTGTGCTTGGAACTCAGGAGAATTTGGGTCACTCAGCGCATCAGTGAATTCGTAATCAAAACCGTCGCGCGATAGGGCTCGCACTGTAAGGCTGTAGGTGTTTGCCTCTGTCAATTTAAAACAAAGAAATGAATAAGGAAAAAACGGGAAAAAAATGATTAAAGCGATCGAGAGGGCAACACAATACAAAATTGTTTAAAAGAACAAACTACAATGTTAAGCAAATGTAAGTTTTTTTATGTTATGAATATATCAAATACAGGTTATTAGGTCATATCCAGAAAGTTATAAATGTAAATCGATGAATTTTAATTTCACAGATTGGATATTAAATATCTAAAAATTGTGCTATTGCAAGAATATCACGTCAGAAAGTTTCTGCCTTTCATGTAATGAGTGATCTTCAGATTTTAGAATTCAACGCAGTAGATATGCGGGCTATCATATACCCACCTACCATATACCCCAATCACTCCATATAAATATATATATCGCACTATTATCCGTCACGCTTTGACGCCCATGGCTTTTAGGCATTGTTACCCCGGTTATTGCCAAGCCGCCAAAGTAACAAGCAAAGAAGCTTATCAGGTACCCTTTAAGGCCCGGTCACACAGAGGGGACGCATGGGGAACGCACGGCCAGCGCATTGGAAATTTGCAATTTTGGCCAGTGCGTTGTCGTGCGCCCAACTTTTGTCGAAGCTACAGCAAGCTGACACCAAATGCATAGCGTGTTGCTAGCGCGCTGAGTGCATACAGGGCGCATACAGTACGCATACAGACCGTACACAGAGCGCACATGATAACAACTTCCACGAATGCACAGCGTGTTGCTAGCGCTGGACGAAAGGTCCACGCATGCACCGCGTTCTCAACAGGTGGTCACACATAGACGACGCACGGCCCGCACATTGGAAATCGGAAAAGGCCGTGTACCTAACTTTTGTAATGATTTTGGAAAAGCTAGCGAGCTGACACAAAATGCACAGCGTGTAGCTAGCGCGCTGTGCGTATACAGGGCGTGTGCTCCGCGTATGTCTGGCGCTGGTCTAGCGTGCGCCGCGCATGTCTGGCGTGCCTTTGGCGTGTACATTCATGCGTCGAGCTCCGCGCACACTTTTGAGCATGCTCAAAAAATCCCGACGCACACAGCGAATGACGACGAATGCATAGCGTGGGTCCAGCGCGCTCGACGAATGAGTAACGAATGATGACGAACGCCTAGCGAACGACAACGCACTAGCCAAAATTGCAAATTTCCGATGCGCTGACTGTGCGTCCCCATGCGTCCCCTCTGTGTGACCGGGCCTTAACACCTAAACGGAGAGTGGCAGAATTGACATCCTACCAAAGAACATTAGTGCTAACCTGGGATTCGAACTCCGTACCTTGCAATCCACATGTCCGGTGGCTTATCAACTAGACCACAACAGCTCTACGAAATATCAAAATAAATATGAAATATCGAAAATTTCTTTTTATAAAACACGAACACAATAAATACCTGTGCAAACATCATTCAATCGGATGAAGGTGGGCCTGCACCGGCATTCATTCTCGACACACGTTTCTGTGTCCCCGCAGGATATAAGCTGGCTAGTGGAGCATCCCAGAGGAGCTATGTCAAAGAGAATGTTAGGTTACAGGAAAAGGTATTATTTTTCTTTAAAAAAAATAGTGCAGCATGAATAAAGAGTGCGCAGACCATCTCATTATGTGCCACGCATACAAATATCATTTATGCAACCAGCAGCGTACGAAGGGGGGGGGGGGTAGTTTTGGGGACTAACCCCCCCCCCCCCTCAATGTTTCTGTTAGTGGCGGATCCCGGGGGAGGGGACCCGGATGCCCCGCCCCCCCCCCTCGTCCCCCAAAATGTTATCATTAATTAAACTTTAATGAAATAAAAATAGAACACCCCCCTTTTTTTTGCTCAAAGGTGGGGGAGGGGGGGGGGGGTAGGGATGTGTGTTGAGTAAAAAAAAAAATTTGTTTCACCACGGAAACATCTGATCAATGCATAGACTCTGCAAGATTCATACATGACCCAAGTTCGGCGGCAATCCATCAATCGGTTCTTGAGATATATAACGCGATTACGAGAGCGGGACGTACAGACGGACTGATAAAACGAAAACATAACGCCTCCGGCTACTTTGTAGCGGATGCATAAAAATGGGTCTACAGTCAAACCTGTCTTTAACGACCGCCCAAGAAACAAAAAATTGGTCTTTGTAGACAGGTTCCTTTAGTACATGTTTCAATGAGAAACTATTTTCAAGAGGGAATGTGGTCATTGTTGACAGTAGCATCTGCTGTATAATTTGGCAGATAACAGCTAAATCATAAATAATAAGGCACAATTTTTAAAATTTCGTCCATATTGAGGACCGACTTTGTGAAACGACTCTTTATTGGTTCTTTATTTATTATTCTATATACTTTTATTTCCCCATTTGAAAGACATACATCCACCTACCGGTACACTTTGTGGAGGAAATTTCCACCACCTTTTCTATGATCATTTGCATTTGGAAGCACTAGCTTTTAATATTGAATTTTGTGGTCACATAAAATACACCGCTGGCACAAAATATATACGTACCAGGAGAGAGAAATTGACTCTGATGGGCCGACGAGAGTCGATTTCTCTCTTACTATATAAGAATGTTAAAAGGAACTCTTTTTTTCTGGTGCTTTCATAGAAAGGAATCATTCATAATAAATAAGAAATTGTCAGTTTAAAGGGGAAATCCAACCCAAATAGACATCTACGCTAATAGAAAGGAGAGAAAATAAATCAATTAAATCTGACTAAATATAAGAAAGTTATGAATTTTAGAAAGTTCTAGTCACTATATACGTATGGGCACTTTCAATTGGCTGAAGCGGTAATTTCAATGTGATGTAGTGCCGGACTACTTTCCCATCTGTTGCAACATATAAAGTGACCAAAATTTAGATTTTTCAAAAAATAATGGCTCAAAAGGGTCTATTCTTTTTAGAGGCCCTATAATAAAATGTTATTTATAATATTTTTTGAGTAGTGTCCCAAGGGAGAAGGAATTTACGAGAAAAACAGAAATTAGTGATATTTTTTCACATGGCAAATGGGAAAATAATCCACGTCCTACGTCACAATCCACTGACCAAACTACTAATTTGAGATTCGCAAAGACTTAGTGATCTCATATTTCAAAAATGTATAAATTCCTTAGTCCGATTCATTTGAAACTTTCGCCATTATGTTTCTGTTATTTTTCTGTTATAATACAAATTAACTTATTACAAGGGTTGGATTGCTCTTTGACACATAAAAAGCGTTTTTCTGATTATCTATGCAAAATGCAAATGAAATCATCTGGAAAATTAAAATTGCAAGCAAAAAAATTGTGGTTGCGTGAGATAGAAGAGATTCGCCTCTCGGATTTCTTTCAAAATACTTTCGTAAATGCCAAAAGTATCTTCAGATTATCTTTCGGGAGAGATCTATATGTAGAAATTGATGTTTGTTGAATGTTATGAATATGACATTCCAAATAATTATGCGTTTTCGTCACACCAAAATATATTTCATAGCAGCTTTCAGCATCATGACATATTTTGTTCCAAGTACATCAATGTGATCAAATAAGACGATCGCAAAGACTTGCAAGATGTTGACCCATGGGGAATTTCAAAACGTTATTGTGATTGCATAAAGAGTCACTATGTGTCAGACATGCCGTTAATTTTTGTTTGCACATTTCATAAGAAGTTGCGTGATGCTGTTGAGACCAATTGCCTCAACAAATGGCGTATACAGACCTTGCCGTCTAGAGGGGCCATTTTTCACCTTTAATACTGTGATCCATAAACCTTTTGTAAAGAGGGCCCTGATTTGGGTTACGGGGGGGGGGGGGGGGAATCTCTCATATTGGTGTATTTTCAGGAAGTAACTAAGGAAGTCTTCTGAGAATATATCTAAATTTCACGGGTTTTGAGACTATAATTATGTTGTGTATTAGTGAGAGTATTTTCTTTTCTTTTTCGAAAATTTTTCAGGAGGGACAAATTGTACCTCCTTAGAATGCTCCAGTGGCCTCAGGTTGATTTCATTGATAGGTCTGTGCTATCATGTTCGAACTATACCACTTACCCGTGACTGATATAACAAAGGTGCATGTTGCCGTGTTCCCACTCGGGTCTTGAGCCGCGTAAGTGACCGTGTTCTGACCGACGGGAAAGGCATCTCCGCTACGACTCGGTGTCAGAGTGACATTGTTGGAATTATCGGATTCAGTGGGCTCCACCCATATCGCCGTCGCCGTTTCTGATCCGAGCTCTGTCGTTAAAGTCTGAGAGCTCGGGCAGTCGCTGATAATCGGGGCTTCATTGTCTGCAAACATAAGGAACATAACATTTTGTTTCAATATGTCACAATTTTATTTTGTTTAGTTTATTTTAGGGAATAGGCTCTAAAATATGGTATGTATAATATCAAATCATTGGGGTTCATTTTAAGTGGTACGTTAATAAACCTTCATGCGCGAGGTTGCAGTCTACATTCAGTTTGTGTTTAGGGGGAATTTTGAGTATCGCTGATGTTTTCTATTCTTTATGCTTTAGATCCATTTGATTTCTTCTTAGATTTATTGTTGGTAGATGAACATAAATGTCTATATATTTGTATTATGTTTATGTTGAATTTAAAAAATATTATTGGATCAATGAAAACTTACCAAAAAAGAAAAATATGTCCTGTGTTTTTATTTTGTTTTGTTTTGTTTTGTAAAATATCCTGTCAGGAATGCTGCAGGGTTACTGGTCAGTTGAATGTGTTTGTGGTCAGATGAGGGTGTCAGTGGCGTGTGCCGTGTACGTATGGTTGTTTTTTGGTGTACTGAGGACACTCATTACATCTGTACCTTAATTTTGACGACCATTCACAAAACGATGACGTCCTCGGTTCGAGAACCCTGTGAAATTGTTTATTTAGGTGCTCTATTTGCTTGAAAGTCCGCGGTTGTGCGGTAAATTTCGAGATATGTCTCGGGGTGTTATATTACTACAAAATCATGTTCCTCGAATGTGTAATATCTTACTGATGTGTATTATGAGCCCTCGAGTTACACAAGAAATGTGCGAGACATACTTTCAAACCTCATCTTGCAACATTTTGGTATTTGTACGGATTACGAGTTCAATCCTTGCTTGGCGCTTAATTGTATCCCGAATCTCATCTGTTCGGTCCATGATTATTCATTATCTCATCTTCGGCTCGCACTTTTCTACCATAGTTTTCTGAACAAATACCTCAATAAGCCATACATCAACAAATTATTTTGTTCTTCTTTATAATTACCCCCACCACAAAACTGGCACTCTGCTTGTACCCTTTGTTGTATATTCGTGAGAGAATTATGTGATTATGTTGAGGACTACATTTATTTTCCTTCGTAAATGTATTTTTCTTTCTTTTCCACATATTATGGTATACAAATTAATGTTATTTTCAATCATCAGTCATGTAAATTATTATTGTTTTGAAGGTGTTATTTTGTTTGTAGATAACGCACAACTGAACAGTAGGTTGCGAGGCATGACTGTATTTCGTCGCCTGGTTGGCAGAAGGGCGTTAGCACTAAATCGCCTGAAACTTTTATAAAATTGACTTATTTCCGTAAAAATTAGTCTTTTAAGTTTTAAAACCATTTTCGGACGGAAATCAGTTTAAATATAAAACAAATCTTTGAATGCGAATAATTCCAAAAGTAGTTTTTTGAATCATTCGCGCGCTAACGCCCTTCTGCCAGCCGGGCGATTTTGTTTAAAGGTTACCATTTTGTATCTTGCAATAAGGTATACACACATATCATGTCCCATCCGGCCCTCGTGAAATGAATAGGTTCATGTATCTGGTAATGCTGAAAAAATTTCAGAGACCCCAGGAAACATATTGTTGAGGCCACCGTGATTAAATTAAATCACGATATATTATTACAACTACTTACCACTGACAACTATGGCAAACATGCATGTGGCTGTATTGCCCCAGGAAACATATTGATGATGCTACCGTGATTAAATTTAGAAGATATATTATTTCAAATACTTGCCACTGACAACTATGGCAAACATGCATGTGGCTGTATTGCCTTGAGCATCAACTGCTGTGTAAGACAGAGAGGTGATTCCAAGTGAAAAGTTGCCTGGATTGGTCCCCTCTCCATTGAATGTCAATGTAACGTCATTAGAGTTATCTGTCACACCGGGTTCTACCCAGGTAACCATTGCAAAGTCCTGGTGGGGTTCCGTGCTCACAGACTGTGTGGATGGACACCGTTGTATCACAGGCTCTTCGGTGTCTGAGCAATGTAAATATTAAAAATACATAATGTTATTATAATTTTTCAAAGAATCATTAGAGAAATGGTTGTTAGGACTTCAAACAAAAATCATCCTGAGCCGATTTCAATTGTCTTTTCCGGCACCTTTTGTACTGAGCGACCATAAGAATGATATATTGGGAATAATACAAAACGATTTGTCTCTGAGACATTGTAGATGTAATAATTACTACATAAACCCAGAGTAATATAGTTACTACACTTTTATAATTTGTTACAAATTCCGAACTTGATTTTTAAGGTAATTCACGAGCGTATGCCAATTGAAATCGCCCATTCGTTAATTTCTCTCTTTCTCCTTCATTCTCAATTCCCCCTTTTTGTTTTCCCCTATCGTTCTCTATCTCCTTCTCTTTGTCTAGCTCACCTCTCTTCCCTGTTCAAAATTAATGTCTGTAATAATTTGTCCATATCCCTTACCTTTTAATATATGATTGTGTAATAAATTTCTCTCTTATACTCTGATAATAAACAAGCCTCATCCATATTTTGCCGGTTAAAGTTGAAACAACTGGATCCTGAGAGACAGTCCATACCCATCAGAAGATACATTACTTTCTACTCTACATTTATTTGTGATGGTACAGATTTTTCTTTTCCATGCACATGAATCAAAAATTAATTAACACTGAACCTCAAATTATAGGATATTAATTTTGTAGATAGGATTATAACATGTAGAAGTTATGTTGGGAAAAAATTGGCGGGCGTGGGGGCAGCCATTGAGGAGCGACTAAACATGACCACCAATTCGGTGGGACCTTATCCTCATACATTCAGTTGATGTTTCCAGTTCCTTTCACCTGTTCCTTTCTTTAATACTCTCTTCCCCCTCCCCCTTTTTTAAGGAACTGGGGGATTGACAACTAACCATTATTGGTTATTCAATGCTGGCAATAATAATAGTATTAATAGTAAAAATAATAATGATAACATAATATTTAAAAGGGTGCATGGAACATAAGAAATACATGTACATTTACAACATCCACCTACCACTGACTACTATCTCGAACATGCAAGTAGCTCTATTTCCAGCGCCATCAACAGCTGTGTATGAAAGAGAGGTTATTCCCAGTGAAAAGTCGCCTGCATTGGTCCCCTCTCCATTGAATGTCAACGTAACATTATTAGAGTTATCTGCCACTGTTGGTTCAGTCCAAGACACTGTAGCGAAATTCTGACCGGTCTCCATGGGTACGGACTGGGATGATGGACAGCCAGCTATAACTGGATCCTCAGTATCTGGAATAAGAGCAATTTAATGATAATAATAATAAAATTAGTAACACTAGAAAATGAACGGATTTGAATAGTTTCGATCATCACAATCATTGTTACGATGATGAAATAATAATAATATTGATAATGATAATAATAATGATAACAATAACAATAATACAAATCATCCATTGCATCATTACCATCATCACTTCATCATCATAATTAAACTAATAGTCATGATAATGATAACAATAATTATGAAATTGAATTTTTATAAGTAACTACAATATCTGGGATGCAGGATTAAAATGTAAACAATGACTTCAAATTTCGAAACTTTACATTTTTAAAATTTTACCGATTTCGTCATAATGAAAATTATCTTAACATCACGACCTGGCGAGGGGCTCGACAATAGACATGAAGCAACATACTTCTTTAAGACTTGAGACCAATACATTCGAAAGCGTGCATGAAAAATAAGTACATTTACAAGATTCACCTACCACTGACTACTATCTCGAACATGCAAGTAGCTCTATTTCCAGCAGTATCTTCAGCTATGTATGAAAGAGAAGTGATTCCTCGTGTAAAGTTGCCTGGATTGGTCACCTCTCCATCGAATGTTAAGTTAATCTTCAAAGAGGAATCTGCATTATCTATCACTTTGGGTTCAGTCCAAAACACCGTAGCAAAATTCTGACCGGTCTCCATGGGAACGGACTGGGACGATGGACAGCCAAGTATAGCTGGCTCCTCATTATCTGGAATGGGAGCAATTTAATGATAATGATAATTACATTACTCGTACTAAAAAAATTAAAAAAATTAATGATAATAGCATCGATCATCACAAGTATTGTAATGATGATGATTATAATAATATTGATAATGATGATAATGATAGTAATACCAATTATTATTATTTTAAAAAAAATGAAAATAATTAATAATGACGATATTAAATCATCTAGATCATCTTCATTGTCAATTATATCATTAGAATAATAAAAATGATAACAATAACATTTATGATTTGATTTGATAGTCTATAACACCAAGGATAACAACATGGTTAAACTGTCAAACTTGACTTAAATTTTGAAAGTATTCATGATTTCGTCACAATTAAAATCATCCTAAAATCGCGACATGTAGAGGGACTCGACAATAGACATAATGCAATAGATTTCTCAAAACATTCAAAAGCTAGCAAGAAATATAAAATATACATCCACAAGATTCACTTACCAATGACTACTATCTCAAACATGCAAGTAGCTCTATTTAAGACTTTATCAACAGCTGTGTATGAAAGAGAAGTGATTCCTCGTGAAAAGTTTCGTGGATTGATCTCCTCCCCAGGCCCAGTGAATATCAGCCGAGCGGTGTAAGCATTATCTGACACTTTTGGTTCAGTCCAAGACACCGTAGCGAAATTCTGACCGGTCTCCATGGGAACGGACTGGGAGGATGGACAGCCAATTATGACTGGATCCTCAGTATCTGGAATAAGAGCAATTTAATGATAATAATAATAACATTAGTAATACTAAAAATACTAAAAATTGTTATATACCTCACTTAAAGGTAATACAAAGTTTTGGGAAATTTGAAAATTGGGTGGAAAGTGATTCTTTACCATTTTGATATATTTGGATGCCCCTGTAGATGTATTATAAGCACAAGAAAAATTAGCCCCTAAAACATTTCTCCTTTCGAGAAAAATTAAATGTAAAAATTTACCGGTGCTCCCGGTAAATTTTGATAAATTTCAAATAGCGCCTACAGCCGTACAATGGTAGCTGTGACAAGTAAAATCTCAGAATATGTAGTTGTGATATATCATTTCCAAACGGGAATAGCTAATTGGTCGATTTTAGTCAAGAAACATTGTTTTATAGCTTAATTAATATCTTGACCTTGAGAGGGAGCTATATAACATAAAGAGTTTATTATTTACAATTTCATAACTTTAGACTCGATTTCAACCGCAACAACGATCCCTGAATATTGTAGGATCGCATATGCTTCCAATATGTTTATTTGAACCAAATTCATGACCCCATCCCAAAACTTTGTATTACCTTTAAGAAATCCAGCCATCTGATTGGTCGAAATTGCAGTCGTGGTTTTAGCCATTCCCGTAAATAAACGAAAAATGCCAAACCTATGTAATAGTTCTAGAGTAAATCAGTAAAATCCCGGCAAAATTCCAGTTACCGGGAAAATAGTACAATCTTGCTGAAATACCCATTGGTTCACTCTTAAAAACCTGGTTTGAGCGAGCGCGGATACCACACATTGTGTGCGTGCGAATTGGTCGCTAGCTTAATTTTTTTGAATTTTTTAATGTCGATCGTACCGGCGAATCCGGCCTAGATTCTACTTACAGTTTCCAAACAAGGCAAAAATGGCTGAAGAAACTCTTCCTAGATTTCAACTTCTCGATAATGATCAATTGCAACTCGGACTTTATTAATTCTGCTGACAGCAAGAACACCAGCGTGTACGTGAAATTCATAATAAAAACTGTTGGACATTTGTTGTGTGCGCATAATGTACGTCGCTACATAGCTACAACACGTAAACTACTACTACAAATTATGGCATTGTTGCATCAATTAGACCATATCTTAAGTTACCATTAACGTTATAAATTGGGGCGAAATGCATTTGAAAGCACATAATATCTGCTATTTTGTGGAGTAGAAATCATTTCTGGGGAACTTGTAACCCCACTCCCTATTGTTCTTGAATGTTGTTACGCATTCACTTTCTGAGACAAAAGTCTATGGCAGCTGCAGCTGCCATAATTTTGGGTTGATACATGTGCAGATAAACTAGAGAAAAGCCAAGGTGGTGTCATAAGTTGACTTTTTTGTTTAGGTATATAAAAGTTACAATGACTGCTTTAATATTCGAGACATGGTTGTTTTTATACGCTCTCGGGGAGGCAAGCCTCGGGCAATAGCTCGATTGTAACCTCCCCTTGAGCGTATACAAACAACGATGTCTCTCAAAGCAGTCATTATTACTATATTATTGTATCGATCATCACAATTAGTGTAACGATGATGATGAATTTTGTTGTTGTTGATAATAACGATCTTAATAATATTAATGATATTAATGATGACAATGATACTAATATCAATTTAACACTTTCATAATAATTATAATAATTATAATAATAATCATTATCGTCATCATCATGATCATTATTATAATCATTTTGATAATACTGAAAATGATGATTATTAAATTATAAAACTAAATTTCAAGAAGTAACTACAAGATGTACATCAAGGATACCAACAGGGTTAAAATGATACAATTTTATTTCGTTAAAGTACTAATGACTTCGTCACAATTGAAGTCATCCCAAGATAATTTCATGACGAGAGGATGCATAGGCGTAATAAATTAATAAATTTCTTTTAGACTTAAATTTAAGACCAAAATATTCAAAAGCGTGCATAAAATATGAAATATACATCCATAAGATTCACCTACCAATGACTACTATCTGAAACATGCAAGTAGCTCTATTTCCAGCGGCATCAACAGCTACGTATGAAAGAGAAGTGAATCCTCGTGAAAAGTTGCGTGGACTGATCTCCTCCCCAGGCCCATCGAATGACAGCGTAACATTATTAGAGTTATCTGATGCTGTTGTTGGAGTCAAAGACATCCAAGACACTGTAGCGAATCTCTGACCGGTCTCCATCGGTACGGTACGGGAGAATGGACAGCCAACTATAACTGGATCCTCAGTATCTGGAATCAGAGCAATTTAATGGTATAATAAAACTAGTAATACTACAAATAATAACAATTGTTATAGTATCGATCAGCACAATTATTTTAACGGTATTAATGAAAAGTATAGTTTTTTTTTATTATAACGGTCTTAATAATATAAATAACATTAATGACATCACTGATGATAATGTTACAAATATTAATTCATCACTTTCAAAAATAATAATAATAATAATAATTATAATCATTATCGTCATCATCATCATTATTATAATCGTTTTGATAATACGGAATATGATGATTATTAAATTATAAAAATCAAATTTCAAGAAGTAACTACAAAATGTACATCAAGGAAATCATCAGGGTTAAAATGATAACATTTTAATTTGTTAAATTACTACTGACTTTTTCACAATTGATGTGATCCTAAGATAATTTCCTGACGAGGGGCTGCATAGGCGTAATAAATTGATAGATATATAGGTCAATAATATTAATAATGATAGTAATGATGATAATGATAAAAATATCAATTCATCACTATCATAATAGTAATAATGATAATAATAATAATAATGATAATAATCATTATCGTTATCATCATCATTATTATAATAATTTGTATATACTGAAAATGTTATTAAATTATAAAATTAAATTTCAAGAAGTAAATATAACATGAAGGCCATCATCAGTTATAAAATGTAAACATTTCAATTCGTTAAAGTACTGACTTTGTTACATTTGAAATCATCCCAAGATAGTTACCTGACGAGGGGCTGTACCATAGAACGTAGTAAAATAATAATATTTTTTCTTTTTACTTGAGACCAATATATTCAAAAGCGTGCATGAAAATAAGAAACACATGTACATTTACAAGATCTACCTACCACTGACTACTATCTCGAACATGCAAGTAGCTCTATTTCCTGCGGTATCAATAGCTGTATATGAAAGAGAAGTGATTCCCAGGGTAAAGTTGCCCGGATTGGTCCCCTCTCCATCGAATGTTAAGTTAATATTCAAAGATGCATCTGCATTATCTATCACTGTTGGTTCAGTCCAAGACACCGTAGCAAAATTCTGACCGAGCTCCATGGAAACGGACTGGGAGGATGGACAGCCAAGTATAGCTGGCTCCTCATTATCTGGAATGAGAGCAATTTAATGATAATGATTATAACATTACTCGTTCTAAAAAGTGAAATTAATGATACTAGTGTCGATCATCACAATTATTGCAATGATGATGACGCTATTAATATTAATAATATTCATAATGATGATAATGCTCATAATAACAATTATAAGTAAATAACAATGATTATATACCTCACTTTAGAAATCCAGCCATCTTTTTGGTCGAAATTGGAGTCCCGATTTAGCCATTCCCGTAAAGAAACGTAAAAGGCCCAAACCGGGCAATATTCTTTTGAATGCTTTTCAAAAGACTTTTGACCGGTTTTGGCATTTTACGTACATGCGTGCAATCTCAATGGGAAGGATTTTAGCACACAAACTCGAGTGTTGCGCGATCAGACACCCTATTAAGACAAGGTATCGATATCGTAACAAACTTGTTTACCATGATTGGTAAGTCGCACATGAATTCTATGACCCCTTTCGTTATCATCATCATCAACTTCAGGTGGCGCTGTGAAGCGCTGCTGTGGTGTTCACGAGAGCACGCCATGCAACTCTTTCACCTGCCATTTGTGTTGCACCTTTCGGTATATAAAAGTTATAATGACTGCTTTAATATTTGAGGCGTATTTATTTGTGAAGGCTCTCGGGGAGGTTATATCGTGCTTTCACCCCTCGACACGCCTCGGGGCGATAGCACGATGTAACCTACCCTTGACCGTAAAAAAACAATTATGTCTCTCATAGCAGTCATTATTACTATATTATAATTGATAATGATGATATTAAATCGTCATGATCATTATCATTGTCAATGATATCATTCGAATACTAAAAATGATAACAATAAAATTAAGGATAACAATGAAAATAATATAGAATAATTCCAGAAGTTTCTATAATATCAAGGATATCAACATGGTTAAACTACATTGACTTAAATTTTGAAAGTATTACCGATTTCTACACAATTAAAATAATCCTAAAATCACGACATGTTGAGGGACTCGACAATAGACATCATGCAATAGACTTACGACCAAAATATTCAAAAGCTAGCATGAAATATAAAATATACACCAACATGCAAGATTCACCTACCAATAACAACTATCTCGAACATGCAAGTAGCTCTATTTTCGTTGTTATCAGCAGCTGTGTATGAAAGAGAAGTGATTCCTCGTGAAAAGTTGCGTGGATTGATCTCCTCCCCAGGCCCATTGAATGTCAGCGTAACTTTGTTAGAATTATCTGACGCTGTTGGTGGAGTCATAAGCATCCAAGACACTGTAGCGAAATTCTGACCGGGCTCCATGGGAACGGACTGGGACGATGGACAGCCAACTATAACTGGATCCTCAGTATCTGGAATAAGAGCAATTTAATGATTATAATAACATTAGTAAGACTAAAAATATTAAAAATTGTTATTGTATCGATCATCACAATTATTGTTACAATTAAAATTTTTGATAATAACGATCTACATGATATTAATGATATTAATGATGATAGTGATACTAATATTAATTCATTACTTTCATAATAGTTATAATAATGATCATTATTGTCATCATTATTATCATTATTATAATCATTTTGGTATTACTGAAAATGATGATTATTAAATTATAAAATTAAATTTCAAGAAGTAACTACAAGTTGTACATCAAGGATACCATCAGGCTTAAAATGATAAAATTTGATTTCGTTAAAGTACTGATGACTTTGTCACAATTGAAGTCATCCTAAGATAATTTCCTGACGAGGGGTTGCATAGGCGTTACAAATTAATAGATTTCTCTTAGATTTATATTTAAGACCAAAATATTCAAAAGCGTGCGTGATATATAAATTATACATTCACAAGATTCACCTACCGAAGACTACTATTTCGATTATGCAAGAAGCTCTATTTCCAGCGGCATCAACAGCTGTGTATAAAAGAGAAGTAATTCCTTGTGTAAAGTTGCGTGGACTGATCTCCTCCCCAGGCCCATCGAATGATACCGTAACATTCAAATCAGAGTTATCTGATGCTGTTGGTGGAGTCACAAACGCCCAAGGCACTGTAGCGAAATTCTGACCGAGCTCCATGGAAACGGAATGGGAGAATGGACAGCCAACTATGACTGGATCTTCAGTATCTGGAATCAGAGCAATTAAATGGTAATAATAACACCAGTAATACTACAAATAATAACAATTGTTATAGTATCGATCATCACAATTATTGTAACGATGAATGATGAAGGTTATAATTTTTGATAATAACGATATTTATTATATTAATGATAGTAATGATGATAATCATAAAAATATCAATTCATCACTATCATAATTATAATAATAATAATACGCCTAATAATAGTAATCATTATCGTTATCATCATCATCATCATTATTTTTATACTCTGTATATACTGAAAATGTTAATTGTTATAAAATCATAAAATTAAATTTCAAGAACTATACCATGAAGGCCATCATCAGTTATAAAATGTAAACATTTCAATACGTTAAAGTACTGAATTGTTACAATTGAAATCATCCCAAGATAGTTACCTGACGAGGGGCTGTACCATAGAACGTAATAAATTAATGTTTTTTCTTTTAGACTTGAGACCAATATATTGAAAGCGTGCATGAAAATAAGAAACACATGTACATTTAAAACATCCACCTACCACTGACTACTATCTCGAACATGCAAGTAGCTTTATTCCCAGCAGTATCTTCAGCTATGTATGAAAGAGAAGTGATTCCTTGCGTAAAGTTGCCTGGATTGGTCCCCTCTCCATCAAATGTTAAGTTAATATTCAAAGATGCATCTGCATTATCTATCACTGTTGGTTCAGTCCAAGACACCGTAGCAAAATTCTGACCGAGCTCCATGGAAACAGACTGGGAGGATGGACAGCCAAGTATAGCTGGCTCCTCATTATCTGGAATGAGAGCAATTTAATGATAATGATTATAACATTACTCGTTCTAAAAAAAAGAAATTAATGATACTAGTGTCGATCATCACAATTATTGCAATGATGATGACGCTATTAATATTAATAATATTCATAATGATGATAATGATAATAATACCAATTATAAGTAAATAACAATGAAAATAATTAATAATGACGATATTAAATCATCATGATCATCATCATTGTCAATTATATCATTAGAATAATAAAAATAATAACAATAACATTAATGATTTGATTCGATTTGATTTGATATGGTGTATATGGTCTATAACACCAAGGATAACAACATGCTTAAACTATTAAAATTGACTTAAATTTTGAAAGAATTACTGATTTCGTCACAATTAAATTATCCTAAAATCACGACATGTTGAGGGACTCGAGAAGAGACATAATGCAATAGACTTCTAATATACTGAAACCCAAAATATTCAAAAGCTAGCATGAAATATAAAATATACATCCACAAGATTCACTTACCAATGACTACTATCTCAAACATACAAGTAGCTATATTTCTGCTTTTATCAACAGCTGTGTAGGAAAGAGAAGTGATTCCTCGTGAAAAGTTGCGTGGACTGATCTCCTCCCCAGGCCCATCGAATGATAGCGTAACATTATTAGAGTTATCTGACACTGTTGGTATAGTCCAAGACACTGTAGCGAAATTCTGACCGGTCTCCATGGGAACGGACTGGGACGATGGACAGTCAACTATAACTGGATCCTCAGTATCTGGAATCAGAGCAATTTAATGGTAATAATAATAACATTGGTAATACTAACAATTTAAAAAATTGTTATTGTATCGATCATCACAATTATTGTAACGATGATGATGAAAATTATAGTTCTTTGATAATAACGATCTTAATAATATTAATGATATTAATATGATAATGATACTAATATCAATTCACCTCTTTCATTATAATTATCATAATTATAATAATAATAATCATTATCGTCATCATCTTCATTATTATTATAATTATTTTGATAATACTGAAAATTATGATTATTAAATTATAGAATTAAATTTCAAGAAGCAACTACAAGATGTACATCAAGGATATCATCAGGGTTAAAATGATAACATTTTATTTCGTTAGAGTACTCATGACTTTGTCACAATTGAAGTCATCTCAAGAAAATTTCATGATGAGGTGCTGCATAGGCGTCCTAAATTAATAGATTTCTTTCAAACTTAAATTTAAGACCAAAATATTCAAAAGCTAGCATGAAATGTAAAATATACATTCACAAGATTCACTTACCAATGACTACTATCTCAAACATACAAGTATCTCTATTTCCAGCGTTATCAACAGCTGTGTATGAAAGAGAAGTGATTCCTCGTGAAAAGTTGCGTGGACTGATCTCCTCCCCAGGCCCATCGAATGATAGCGTAACATTATTAGAGTTATCTGACGCTGTTGGTGGAATCGAAGATATCCAAGACACTGTAGCGAATCTCTGACCGGTCTCCATGCGTCTGATACTGGAGAATGGACAGCCAAGTATAACTGGATCCTCAGTATCTGGAATGAGAGCAATTTGATGGTACATGTAATAATAACACTAGTAATACTACAAAAATAACAATTATTGTTAAAGTGTCGATCAGCACACTTATTGCAATGATCGATGATAATATGATAATAAAATTAATAATAATCATAATGATGATAATGATTATAATAACAATTATAAGTAAATAACAATGCTAATAGTTAATAGTGATGATACTAAAAGCATCATGATCATTGATAACTGATAAATGAACGAAATAACTTCATTGATAACAACGAAAATAATGTAAAATAATTCCAAAAGTTTCAATAATATCAAAGATATCAACATGGTTAAACATGTATAATGAAAACAAGAAAAAAAGATGCAGAAACCAATAAATCAAATCAAATCAAATCAAACTATTAAAATTGCCTTAAATTTTGAAAGTATTACCGATTTCGTCACAATTTAAATCATCCCCAAATCACGACATGCTGAGGGACTCGTCAATAGACATTTAATGCAATAAATTTCTTATAGACTTAAGACCAAAATATTCAAAAGCTAGCATGAAACATTAAATATACATCCACAAGATTCTCCTACCAATGACAACTATCTCAAACATGCAAGTAGCTCTATTTTCAGCGTCATCAAGGGCTGTGTATGAAAGAGAAGTGATTCCTCGTGAAAAGTTGCGTGGACTGATCTCCTCCCCAGGCCCATTGAATATCAGCCGACCGGTTGCAGCATTATCTGACACTTTTGGTTCAGTCCAAGACACTGTAGCGAAATTCTGACCGGTCTCCATGGGAACGGACTGGGAGGATGGACAGCCAATTATGACTGGATCCTCATTATCTGGAATAAGAGAGATTTAATGATAATAGTAATAACAATACTCGTACTAAAAATGAAATTAATGATAATAGTATCGATCATCACAATTATTGTAACGATAATGACGACAATGATACTAATATCAATTTACTACTTTCATAATAATTATGATAATAATCATTATCGTCATCATCATCATTATTATAATCATTTTGATAATACCGAAAATGACGATTATTAAATTATAAAATTTAATGTCAAGAAGTAACTACAAGATGTACATTGATGATATCATCAGGGTTAAAATGATAACATTTGAATTCGTTAAAACACTGATGTCTTTGTCACAATTTAAGTCATCCTAAGTAATTTCCCGACGAGGGGCTACATAGGCGTAATAAATTAATAGATTTCTTTTAGACTTAAATTTAAGAACAAAATATTTAAAAGCTAGCATGAAATATAAAAATATACATCGATAAGATTCACCTACCAAAGACTACTATGTCAAACATGCAAGTAGCTCTATTTCCAGCTGCATCAACAGCTGTATATGAAAGAGAGTTGAGTCCTCGTGAAAAGTTGCGTGGACTGATCTCCTCCCCAGGCCCATCGAATGACAGCGTTACATTATTAGAGTTATCTGACACTGTTGGTATAGTCCAAGACACTGTAGCGAAATTCTGACCGGTCTCCATGGGTACGTCACGGGAGGATGGACAGTCAACTATAACTGGATCCTCAGTATCTGGAATCAGAGCAATTTAATGGTAATAATAACTCTAGTAATACTACAAATAATAACAATTGTTTTAGTAGCGATTAGCACAATTATTTTAACGGTGATAATGAAAATTATCGTTTTTTGATAATAACGATCTTAATAATATTAATGATATAAATGATGATAATGATAAAAATATAAATTCATCAATATCATAATAGTAATAATAATAATAATAATGAGCAAATAATTACCGTTTGTGAAGGTAATTGGACAAACTATTTCCGAGGCAATTTGGATGTAGCTATCTTTCCGAAGCGAAGCTGAGGAAAGATAGCGTATACATTCAGATCGCCGAGGAAGTGATAGTTTGCCATCGCCTGAAACCAAAAGGTGATTATTGGCTTTATATTCCACATCGGAAACATTTCACTTCTTCCGTGACTTTAGAGGCTGTTCTCACTGCAATGAGATAGCGCAGTCTATCGTAGCACCCCCTTTTTTCTAGCGCGCGCTAGACCGCGCTATCTCTCGTGGACCACCCCAAGAGGTGCTCCAGTGGCACGCCGTTTTGGCTCGCCTTGGCTCGCTGTTGGGCGGACCGAAACGACGTTGTACCTTCCGCACCGCAGAGATAGCGCGGTCTAGCGCGCACTATCTCTGCCGGTGTGAACAGCCTCTTAGAGCAACAAGTCATCAATTACCAGCTAGCTAACGGTGTACGAAACGTACAGTATATGCAGTATGGTGGTGTGACCATAGTTCGCGCGTGACAAAAGTTCGCGTACTAACACTCAAAGCGCTTAAAGAGGAGAGCAATACGCAACGTATACAATTAAGTGCGTTGCACTGTGTAGATAGTACTTCTATCTTCAGCGAAAGTACGTTGCATTGTGTATATAGTACTACTATCTACACATTGCAACGAACTTTTCTTCTCCCATCAATGATAGGCGGGCGAACTATCTTTCATCACGTGATATAATTTATATTATATTCCACATACTAAGAATCTTGCTCTACGATTGGTCAAAAGTAAATCACGTGATTAAAGATAGTTCGCCCATGTGTGTGTGTGTATGTGTAATTGGGTTTTTACAGACGTGTATCAATCAGATATGATTATTTACGTCTGGGATCGACCTTTAACGTCACCATCTGAAAGATGGTGACGCCCATGGGAGAAGAAAAGTTCGTTGCACTGTGTAGATAGTAGTACTATCTACACAGTGCAACGCACTTTCTTGTAATACGTTGCATATTGCTCTCCTCTTTAAGTGCTTTTAGTGTTAGTACGCGAACTTTTGTCACGCGTTAACTATGGTCATACCACCATACTGCGTGCACTGTACGTATCGTACACCGTTTGCTAGCTGTTAATTAACGAATTGTTACACTCTAAAATGATGGAAGAAGCAGTGGCGGATCCAGGAGGGGGGGGGGGGAGGGGGAAATAAAATGTAATCGTGGTTTTTTTCTAATTCCATAACGGTGGTTGAAATGAGTGCTGAAATGAGAAATGAGAATTTTTTTTCTCATTTTTTAGTAAATTATACTTTTTTATGCGTTTGTTGTAAAATGACAAATTCCTAAATTTACAGCCAGGCAAGAAAATATGCCTCTTCAGATGCCTACATGTCAGGGCCCGCGGAACGGCGGGGATCGGGAGCTTCCACCTCCCTCCCCCCCCCCCCCGAATGTTTTGAAAAAAGAATATTACAGAGAAATAGAAAGAAAGAGAACAAGAAAGAAAGGATAGTTAACTGCCAGTGTCACAACAAAATAAGGTATCAAAAATGCTCATCTGACCGTAATTAAACACCTAAAAACCCTGAGCTTACGGGGGCTCTGCCCCCGGGACCCAACCAAGGGCCCGAAGGCG